CTTTCATTCTGGATCCATCGCTGATCACTACCTTCTACCAAGAACATCCTGAAAAGAAGTTGTAGATTGCCTGGAGGCGATCTTTAAGGGGGAGGTACTGAGGCATTTCGGTGTTTTACACCAAATGCCTCCTTGCCTACCTGGCAACCCATATTAGGCGCACCTGCAGCTCACCCGGCTCATCAGCTGCAACTCACCTGGCTCATCAGCTGCAGGCTTTATAAGGGAGACCTGTGGATCAACTCATCGCTGAAACATCATACTGCTCTGGTAATGTTCTCAGCCTGCTACTAGTTCTGACAACAGTAGTTGTATTTACATGTTTGTATCTCCTTTTGATAATCTGTTTCCCAGGATTAAGTTCCTGTTTTGTTGAAAGTCTCTGGACCCTGGTCTCGCCTGCCTGTCTTGCCTTGAGCCGCTCACCTGTTCTCATGCGCTGCCTCACCGCCTCCCACTCATCTGTAAATAAGAAACTCACCTGTAAATACTCACCTTGGGATCTTAAGTATCGGACCTACTCCTCCTCGTGTCATCAGAAGCTTTCACCAGTAAGCAAATCTTCTCTTTACTTTCATAAGTCATTTCCTGGATCAAACTGCCTCAAGACTCATCTCTGCCAACCCTCTGCTTTCAGGTCACGTCCACTCTCCCGTTCCTTTGTAAATAAACTTATTTCATTTTTATATACTCAAGTCTCTGCCTCGGTTTTGTCCACTTGTGTTTGCTCACACCTGTCTGTGCCCTGTAAACGCGATATGGAGAGCGATGGGCTCGGTCCACCAGTGGCTCTTTATCCATCTTTAGGACCTCTGCTAGCAGTTTAGCCACTGCTGAAGTGGAGCTGGATTCTGGTGTCTCTGGAACTCCAATAATCCGCACATTGCACCTTCTCATGCGCCCCTCCATATCGTCACACTTCTTTTTGAGGCCAACAACTTCTTCTTTCAGTTCCAACATGGTGGTGCGCAAAGAAACAACCTCATCGGACCAGGCTGACAAACCATCCTCCACCTCCTTAACGATCTGTTTAACGTGGTCCAGGTCTGCGCGCAGTAGCATCGTGCCGTTAGCCACCTCCGCTCTCACCTCTTGCAGTTCCCTTTAATAATAATAAACTCTTCAGCCAAAGCTGCTTTTATTTCGGATTTGATCACAGCTGAGTGATCGTTTTTATAGCGGCAAGAATGTCAGACTTCAAGGAGAGTGCGTCCACCTCGCTGCGGGAGGGAGAAGGAGGTGCAGAAAGTCCGGCTTTAGCTGCAGTCAGCTCCAAAACGGCGTCAGGCCTAACAGCCGTCAAGCTGGAATGTTTGCCTTTCCTCGAGTTTGTCGCCATTCTTCTACTCTTTCAGGCAAGAATCACTCAGGGGTCGAGTCCGGACAGACCAAATGTTTAAAACAATAAGGACATTTAGTACAGAACCACAAACTGAACAAGTCGGAGCGGGAGCCACGCGACACGTCTCACTCCTCCGCCATCTTGTCCCGCCTTCTCTAACACAGTAAATTTTTAAGAATTGACCTAAGGTTTGTGGTGGCTGACACCGATCCCCAATACATGCTGTATTCAGCAGGAATTATCCAGACCATCGAACCAAGGCCTAAAAATACATTACATTAAAGTACTTTATGTATATTTAATTATGCTTTATTATTGCCCACAACTGGAAGATAAAGGTGTACAATGTTTTTCCTTGTATGTGTGTTTACTTCTGTAAACAAAATATCATATGAACCACTTGACATAAGTTACTGAAACTTTTAATTATTGATCGTACATCTACAACTAATTAAGGTTTTTTTAATCAACCAACTGACCTAATGAAACACAAAATGTCTATAACTTTGTAAGTTTTATAGCTATCGAGATCAAATTGTGTGGTAGTAGCCGAGTCATCACATCATATATTCTAAGTATGACATTTTGTAAAGCATGAGATTGTGCATAGTATAACATAATGATCGAGGTTTGACCTAAACCTTGATCCAACCTTTCTTATCCTAAAATAATTTTATATTATTTAAGAAAATCCCACTTTAAAACTCTCATGAAAGTTGCGGTCTCGAGAATATGCCAGGATTAGACAGATCTGCAGAGTTGTAAAGCAACTAAGTACAAATACTTTGTTACTGTACTTAAGTAGAATTTTTGGGTATCTGTACTTTACTTGAGTAATTATTTTTCAGCCTACTTTTTACTTCTACTCCTTACATTTTCACACAATTATCTGTACTTTCTACTCACTACCTTTTAAAAAAAGACAAGAAGTAGAAAGTTATTACTATAATTTCATTTTTGCTTGTTTTCATTCCAGCTTGTTATTGTAAAAAAATACTATCCATATAAATTGTGCCTCTTAGATAAAATAAAATTCAGATATCATATTAGTTTGTACACAAACAAAACATGTCACACTCCAGCAGGACATAATCATTAAATGGTAAATGGTTCTGAACTTATAGAGCGCTTTTCAAGTCCCTCCGGGTCCCAAAGCGCTTCACACTAACAGACATTCACCTATTCACACTCACATTCACACACTGATGATGGCAAACTACATTGTAGCCACAGCTGCCCTGGGGCACACTGACAGAGGTGGGGCCGCCATACATCGGCGCCACCGGACCCTCTGACCACCATCAGTAAAATAAAAGGACTGTACTTAAGAAGTATTTGTATGTCATGAATTATATTATTACATTTGGCCGCAGCCCTCAGATAGATTTTCATTTTGGGGAAAAGATTTGTGCAGCCTTGATATATGTATATAAACTGAAACAGCTGGAGTAGTGCATCCTAAATTTAACATTAATTAATTATTTTTAATGCACTTATTTCTGCCTTTTTTCCCTATGTCATTGCAGAAAATCTAACTGCTCATTTTAAATCAATACTTTTACTACTTTAGTACAAAAAATATCAGATACTTTAAGACTTTTACTTAAGTAATATTTTAATATAATAAAATATTTTTTGGGTAAGATACTTGTACTTTTTATCACTTTATGCAGCACTGCAGATCCAGCCACTGGGTGGTGTAGTTTATCTCTTTTGATGAGAAAAGAACACATTATAAATGTTTTTTTGAAAGTTTTTGGTGGTTTTGTCTACCATTGACATTGTATAACTGGTTGTCTGTTAAGCCACATTAGTTTGATATATTTAAGACTGGTTTATCAGCAACCAGGTGAGCAGCGTTTTAGTCCAAACCACCTGATCGTTTCCTGTCAAAGAGGCAGGAACTCTCCGCAGGGGCTAAGTACCCGGATGAACGGGAACGATCTCCACCTCCAGCGGAAACCAGCTGAGACGGGGCTAGAGAAGAGAAAATGGCGGAGTGAGTGGGCTGCGCGTTGTTAGGACGGTGGCGACCCTTTAAGTTAGACTAAAACCTTCCTCAAAGTTCGTAAAAGCAGTTTCGAAAGCGTCGTTGTCCCCTTTACTGGGCGAAGGACGTAAACATTATTCAGCGGTAGCTTCGCTCGATGCTAACGTCAGATGTGGCTAACATTAGCGGCTAACAGTTCAACTCAAGCAGGCCTCAGCTGTTGGAATTTCGTCTTTGTTGTGCATATTGTGACAGCGACACGTTTATTTCTGTGACTGTTTTATCTGCAGTGATTTTTTTTTACCGATTAGTTACAACAAAACCGTGGATTTAATGATCGTCCCTTTATTTGTCGACGATTGTTGTTTGTACTGAGCGCTGCCGCTGCTTTTATTATCCTCGTACATCGCGATCCGAACAAACGACTCTATGTCCTGCTGAAAATCAGGCTAGGCCCCTCCATAAAAAAAACAAACCCATCAGATATTGTGCTTGACTGGATCGTATTATGGCGAGCAGCAGCGGCTCCAAAGCCGAGTTTATAGTCGGTGGGAAGTACAAGCTTGTTAGGAAAATCGGATCGGGATCTTTCGGTGACATATACCTGGCAATCAACATCACAAATGGAGAGGTGAGGGTTTATTTCTGTTTTACCTGGATTTTAGTGGGTGACGTTACCGTGTGTTGTTACATATATACAACCTTTTTAATGTTTGTAATTATAGTTGGTCATAAATAGGAAAAAGTCGATGTGTGTGTTTGTGTTGTTCACAGGAGGTAGCTGTAAAACTGGAATCACAAAAAGCCAGACACCCACAGCTGTTATATGAAAGTAAGCTGTACAAGATCCTACAAGGAGGTGTCGGAATCCCACACATCAGGTAAATAACATTTGTTGTTGGCCCTGAACAAGTAAAGTTGCTGTCAGCGCTTTTGTTTTTGTTAACTAAATATAGACGGTGGTTGTGTTTACTCTCTGAAATTAACCTGGTGAGTGTTTATAATGTGTTACGGGATGAGTTTATTTCAGCTGAGAAACCAGTTTAGGCCTCTTAGACACAGGATTAGTGGGAAAGCTGCTGTGTGTGTAGCTGGAAATGGCCGCTCCTCTTTTGTTGCGCTTGCTCCCAACATGGAGGTTAGAAAATGGCGGCGGAGCTCCGCAGCTGAACTGACTGTTCTTGCTCCGGAGCAGGAGCTCCGGAGCAAGAACAGTCAGTTCAGCTGCTTCAGGTAAGAGTTCAGTGTTGTTGCGGGATTTTTACCCTTTTTTCCCCCCCTCACAGCGTTGATTTAAACACTAGTGCCTAGTTATGGTGCTCAAACATTTACCTGTGCCTACGTGCAGAAATGCGACTAAACTTGTCGAAATATTTTTACGATTATGATGAAACCAAAACACGTTTCCTTAGTTTCGGTACAAATGTCCTTAAGTCGACAAAATGTTAAGATTGTCATCTATTAATGTCAACACGCCCTGTCAGATACTTTAATCATTGTGAGGTGTTTTTATTTCATTTGAAGTGTTTAACTATTAATATTATGTTTACACATGGAATGGACAATCAAAATTATATATCCCGGTATTTTCAACATTTTCACCAGTTTCATGGTATTTGACGGTATTTTTCTTTTCATCACAGCTCGGCTGATAATAAAATGTACAAACCCTGCTTTAGGGCTGCCACCATTAATCGACGACTAATCGATTATTAAAATAATCGATGACTAATTTAATAATCGATTATTCGTTTTCTTTCTTTTTTTTTTGTTCTTTACTTTGTTTTTCTCTCCAAACTGCTTTGACACCTTCCACTGCCACATCTGCCTTTCTG